TATGTTAATTATGTTGTCATTGCGCGAAACGTAAACATTTCTGGTTATCACATTGAATGGTTTTTAATTACCTACTTTGCAGTAAAAAATCATAAAAAACATTTTTGAAGGATGAAAAACCTCACTTTTTTACACAACATGTTTTCTACTACACTATCCGAGTCGAAATTTGAATCGTCTTTACCTCCTCCTGGAATCTAAATAACCCAGTGGGAAAAGCACGATTAGCTGAATATTGGTCCAATATTGGGAGCAGTTTTGCCAATCTTGGTCCATTATTTTAGCCAATATTGGACAAAGTCTGGGAGTGTAGAGACCAATGCCAAGGCTCGAATTTCAATATTGGCCCAATATTCAACCAATATTCAAAAATACAAAAAATCAGACTTCAGCCAAGATTAAAAAAATTATTATTAAAATTAAAATAAAATAAATTTTTTTGTTATATTTATATATTAAATTTTATTATATATAATAACATTATTATTTCCCTTCGGATCAAGGGTTATATATAAAATCATCCGCAATAAACGGAGAAAAAGAAAAAAATATTTTATAATGTCCTGCTAGACAATAACAATTATCAGGTGAATAAAAGAGATATTGTGAAGATTCTGTACATATCGCGGATACTTATACCCTAACCGATTGATGTTGTTTATAAGAGAGAAAAACACTGCCATTTGTCGAATAGTTGGAAAATTAACGTAGCGCGAAATTCAAATTGCGTGAAGGAAAAACTGTGAGTATAAAGAATTACTTAAAAATGTATTTACTTAAGAATGCATACTATTGCATTAAACAAAACTTAATTAATGTTACAATGGTCACAAATAATTTTTTTAATTTTAATTCTTTATACTTACAGTTTTTCCTTCACGCAATTTGAATGTCGCGCTACGTTAATTTTCCAACTATCCGTCAGATGGCAGGGTTTTCTCTCTCATAAACAACATCAATCGGTTAAGGTATAAGTATCCGTGATATGTACAGAATCTTCACAATATCTCTTTTATCACCTGATAATTGTTATTGTCTAGCAGAAAATTAGAAAATAATTTTTTTCTTTTTCTCCGTTTATTGCGGATGATTTTATATATAACCCTTGATGCGAAGGGAAATAATAATGTTATATATAATAAAATATAATATATGAATATAACAAAAAATTTTATTATATTTTAGTTTTAATAATTAATTTTTTTAATCTTGGCAGAAGTCTTATTTTTTTGTATTTTTGAATATTGGTTGAATATTGGGCCAATATTGTAATTCAAGCCTTGGCATTGGCACACTCCCAGACTTGGTCCAATATTGGCTAAAACAACTGGTCCAATATTTAGCCAATATTCAGTCTTGGCAATTTCCCACTGGAAAGCACTCTTTTAGGTCTTTTAGACTCCTGTAGGCCCTTTTTTCAATACAATGGTGGAGAAAAGGGAAACTTGCGACTGGTTGAGGAAGCTAAATGTGGAAAAATTTTGTGGAAGTCTAGCGTCTAGAAATAGTCTTACCAGTCATAGGCAAGCCCGTCTAAACTAGTCGGTCTTGCTATTCGCTAAGAAGCGTTTCAATAGACGTAGTCGAGTTCGTCTTATCTAGACCGTTTTTCAAGACTCAAGCCAGCGACTTTACAGCGCTACTTGACAAACGTGTAGGTTATGGTCGTTTGCGGTTGTCATCGTACTTTTACAGTTGTTGCACTTTTGTGAAATTCTTTTCTTTGTAAAATGCTTTTGTAAAATACTTTTGTGAAATACTTTTGCGAATTACTTTTGTAATTGTGTACAAATATTTTTAAATAATATATTTTTTACAATTTTTACTAATTACAATTTAATATATTTTATAATTAGTAATTAATATTATTTAAATTATATTTATATATTGCTGTTAATTTCAATAAAAATATTCTTTTGTTTTTTTATAGATTTTTGAAATTTATTTTTTTAATCGAAGAAAAAACTTTGTCACGAATTTATTTATTTTTATATTATATATCCATTTACATAACCTCAAACTAAAAAGTAGTTTTTAACAAAACTAAAAATATATTTAAAATTTATTACACCCAAATTCGACATATCCAATTGTACAATATATATTAATTTAAATAATATTAATTACTAATTATGAAATATATTAAATTGTAAAAAATATATTATTTAAAAATATTTGTACACAATTACAAAAGTAATTCGCAAAAGTATTTCACGAAAGTATTTCAGAAAAATATTTTACGAAAGTATTTTACAAAAGCATTTTACAAAAAAAAAGAATTTCACAAAAGTGCAAGAACTGTAAAAGTACGCTGACAACCGCAAACGACCATAACCTACACGTTTGTCAAGTAGCACTGTAAAGTCGCTGGCCTGAGTCTTGAAAAACGGTCTAGATAAGACGAACTCGACTACGTCTATTGAAACGCTTCTTAGCGAATAGCAAGACCGACTAGTTTAGATGGGCTTACCTATGACAATAAAGTCAATGGATATGGCTTTTATATAAATAGAAATAATTTTATAATTATATTAAAAATATATGTAATTTAAGAATAAAAACATTTTGAATTTAGCATAAAAGCGCGTCAAAAACATCACCGATATTAACAGATTGTCGCCAAGTAGCCAGCGTGGCCCCGTGGTTAGCGTTGTAGGTTTGCGAGTGTTAGGTCGTGGGTTCGGTGCCCAGTGCGAGCGAGATTTTTCAAATTAGATTAGGTGTTATTTCCACAGGTGTTGTTAATTAATCTTAACTGATGAAACAAAAATTGTAAAAAACTTCGGATTAAATTAATTAAATAATAATAAATTTTTTTTGAAATTACTAATAATAATTAAATGAGGAGATAAGTTGTCTTGACTTATAAGATTCCAATACAACTTATCTCCTTATTATTAATAAATTAAAATCATATTATTAATGAATACTAATGTTATTTTAATTTTATCTATAAATATAATAATACGTAATATTAATAGGATTATTATTATTATTACTATTATTATTAAGAATTATTGAACGCGAGAATCAAGACCTGGCCAGCTTGTCTAACTCTAGACCGTAGCATGGAACTTTCGTTCCACTTCTGATCGGGGGCTCGACAAGACCGTCTGGCCTGGGTCTATAGAGACGTTAGACAGTCTGTCCAGTGTCCTACCAGCGCCCCGAAATTTTTCCACAAGAGGGTCTAGTTCGATTAAAAAATACAAAAAAATAGAAAAAAAATAATTTTTTATCCTTCAGGCACAAACATGGCGCATTTAGATACCTGTCGTCTGGGTGTAATGCCAATCATTTATTCTCCCGCCTGAAAATGGTCTCCATGTTTGCCCTAGGGTAAAAATTAACGCCATTTTTAAACGGTAGAACAAATGAATGGCTTTTTCACCCGGCCGTCAGATAACCTAAAAGCGCGACGTTTGTGCCTTTGGAATAAAAAAGTATCCTAAGTAACATGGGTCCAAAGGCAGCCAATTGTTTATACGTTGACGTTTGCTAGCACTCGTTCACGTCTTGGGCTCGCCCTCGACTACCACTTGTGCTGCAAACGCCAACGTAAACGATGGCTGCCTTTGGACCCTTGTTGCTTAATATACTATTTTAATTATTTTGATTAATTTTATAATTATTATTTATTGTTGTATCTTTTAAATAAACAATTCTTTTTACTTAAAAAAGTGATTATTTTGGACCTTTATATTAATAAATATTATAAAAAAATGTTATATTTAATTTAGGGTAAGTCCGGGGGAGTTGGCCACAGTTTTTTTAAAGGTCTGTAAAAATAAAAAGAAAGTGATTTAAGTATTAACTTTTATTGATAATTAAACATTGAACATTTAACTTACAAAAAATGATAGAAATGAGAAATTTTTTAAATGCAAACAATCTTAAAATTAATATTTTTTAAAAAACGCGTTTGGCCATCTCTCCCGGAATGCACGGGGGAGATGGCCAATACTTTAAAATCAATTTTTAGCTTTTCGCTTTATCAAAATTTTTAATTTAAAGGGATTAAAGTCTTTTTTTCTTGTTCTGACTACATTTCGAACATTTATGATTAAATTCAGTGCAATTTTCATAAGCGCTGTCTGTTTGTCTGTCTCACCAACACAACAAGGCTACAAGGAAATTTTTCGAGATATCATAAAGACTCCAAAAAAGTGTTTTCAGCATATTCTTAACTTAATAAAATTTGTTTCACTCAAAATACTTAAGTGGCGTTTTTGTGTTCAAATATATGTATGAAAATTTTTCGATCAGACCATAGATTGACCTGTTTAAAGCAAAAATGCAGTTGTGCCTTTAAAAAATGTATAAATTTAAATGAAATCGCGATTTTTATTATCATCTTTAAATTGTTACCACAGGAATACAATTAGAGGCATATCATTGAAAAAAGTCTTAAAATTTTTGTTTTTTCATCATCTTTTAAAAAATGCATTGAACTTTTATTTTTATCCAACGCCGTAATAGATATTTTCATAAGACGTTCAATTTAATTTTTTTAAAAAGTGCTATCACACAATCAAACCTTTGTATTTTTAGTTTTAGTGGTGGCATACTAGTGGGATAGTGAAAAAATTTTGACAAAATATGTCTGTTAGATATTTCCTTTGCAGCTGAAGCGATATTTTACACGCCGCAAAAGAAAAGTCGTTAAGAATGTAAACTTTTCTTACGGTGTCACATGAAATTTCAGTGTTTTTTCACTTTTTAACCTATAAAACTAATTGACTAATTAATATTTTCTTCGAATATTGTACAGAAATGTTACTTTGTATATAATTTAGCAAGAAAAAATTATATATTAAGTTTTAATTAAAAATAATATAGACTTTTAAGTGTTTGATTCAGGTGTCATAAAAGTTAAAAGTTTCGTGGATTTGCCCTTATATATCTTCATTAGTTACACTTTAAAGCGAAAAAAATACTTCATAAATTATATTTTTTTTTTAAATATCAGTTTTACAGTTACGTGATAAAAACCCTTTCTCAGGAGAATCACTTCGCGAACGGAGAGGTTTTTGCTACAATTTTTATCTTAAAACAAAAATCGGCTTATCTCCTGGAGGATTTATCCGAAAAAGTACTCTGCAAAAAGTATTATATTTTTAATAACAGTTTAAAAAATCAAATACCATAAGAAAAAGTCTTATTAGGGTGTCCAGCAAAAGATTGGAATAACTAAGTTTTACATTGGTTTAAATATGGAATTATTAAATTTTTAATTGTTTAAAACTTGGAATAAAATTGAATTTTTAATTGATTAAAACTTGGATTAATTACATTTTTATTTAGTTAAAATGTGTAATAATTGATTGGCATTCGGAATTATTGAAACTTAAATTAATTTAAATTTGGGACAATTGAATTTTAATTAATTAAAATGTAGAATTGAATTTTTAAATTAAAACGTTCAGAAAATATTTTTATCTTTGGACAATATTAAAAAAATCCCTGACTTTTGATAAAATTCCCTGACTTTCCCTGCCTTTTCCCTGACGGCTGGACACCCTGCTTATAAAATTAAATAAACAGTAATTACAAACGATAATCCAAGATCTACAATCAATAAAAATCGTAGAATTCAATATTTCAAATACCTTTGAATAAATTCCAATGTTTTGGATAGACACGTTGGATAAGCATATCCGAATGTGTAGTAGGAGACGAAGGCAATTAAAATTTCCTCTGATACACTAGTCGCACGAATAATAATTTTTTTTTCCAGAATGACGCAAAAACTTGCATTGCTATCATACAAAGACGTGCCTGTAAGAAATATATTAATTAGAAAAATTCCTTATATAAATTTTCAGTATTTTATAAAGAATAAATTATAAAATTCTTACATATTTTTTTTCAAAAAATTGTCTTAAATCTATTTTTTGAAAAGTGGTGCTCGCAATTACTATTTCACTATATTTAAACAGAATAGATTTATTTTACACACCTCTTACAATTAAATGAGGATAAACTGTCGCTTCCGTAAGCATTTCTTCATCAGTAACAGAATCCTAAACACAGAGAAGCTATTTAAATAATATATATTATCGAAAATTTATGACAATATTATTAAAATTTTTAAGTCTGGTGAAAATGAACAAAAAAAAATCATGTTTACCTGTCAATATATTACATTAGTTTATTTTTACGGTACTTATAGCGTGTGTGCATTAATAAACAAAAACACGTCCAAAAATCGATGAATATAAAAAAAATAAAACCCAAATGTCATGAAATAAAAAGAGCCAAAATGGAATAAAAATAAAAACTTCTTTCAGGTTATTTAAAACGTGAAGTAAACTTGAAGTTATTAAGTATAAAAATATACAGTAATAAATGCAATTTTGATGAGGTAAAAGATTTTTTGACATAACCTACAAGCTGTCATTCTCTGAAAAACTTTTCAGACAGCATATATAAAATATCTTAAAAAACCAAACAATAGAAAGAACAATCAGTGTCTTTCTGTTCTACTTGTTTACAAAATTTAAATTTACTTACAAGAATAGAAAAAAAATGGCCCAAGTAAACTATTAAACCGTCCATTGACGTAGAATATTTCATGCCCACTTGTAAAGAAATCACAATTAATTGTTCTAAAAATTGGTTATTTATTTTAAATACCACCATCAAATTTATATTGGAACAAGAAACTAGCGTAATTCACTTTAAAAGAATATATTTAAAATAAAATAAAACACGTAAAATTATCCAAGCATTTACCTTTAACTTTAGGCTTGTAAACGCCATTTTGTTCGTCCCTAGTACGCATGCGCGAACATTTGTTCCGTATTAACCTCCATGAGATGGCACAAGGACGCGGACTCGTTTTTCAAAAGTGTATATTATTTTTTATGTGTTAAAAAAGATTTAATTTTACAACCTATTCTTAGAGAAACCCAAAATCAATAAGAAAATATATGAGCAGTGACAACCGCATAAATAAACCCTGCAATGTATTTTATTATTTTCCATTTAGAAATATATTTTTCTCTTCTTTTAAGGAGGGTCACGACCATTACATAACCTCAAAACTAAACAATGCTTTTTAACGCAAAACAAGGAAATAGTAAAAACTAATTTTAAACTATTTCAGAAAATCCAGTTACATACTTTCCAGAAAAAATTACGTTAAGTCGAAATCTTTGGCGAAGTAATAATTTTTTGACATTTTGACTTTTTTCCTTTAGATCAGACAAAAGTCGCAATTTTCATTCAATTTTGATAAACAATAGTTTTTTTTACTCAGTGAAACATTCTCTACAAACGTAATTATTTTCGAATTCTTGAAAGTATGTTATTAAAAAATTATAAACAATATACATAAATTTTATTTATTAAATAATTTGTTAACAACATACTTTCAACAATTGGAAAATGATAACGATTGTACAGAATGTTTCACTGAGTAAAATAAGCTATTGTTTATAAAAATTGGATGAAAATTGCGATTTTTGTTTGATCTGAAAGAAAAAAGTCAAAATGTCAAAAAAAAATTATTTCGCGAAAGATTTTGACTTAACGTAATCTTTTCGAAAAGTATATAACTAGATCTTCTGAAATAGTTTAAATTAATTTTTAATACTTCTTTGTTCTTGTTAAAAAAACATTGTTTAGTTTTAAGGTTATGTTATGGTCACCACTCTCCTTAAGTATATGGAATATATCCCCACACAGCACACACAGAAATTCTTCAAAGATTACAATAATCTAGAAATTAGTTAAAGAGTTCGAAAAAAAGAACCTGACAAAATTTTAATTTTTTTATAAGGAAATCCATGTGGATTTCTTGCGTAAATTTTTCAAAATTTTTATAACATTTCGTATGGAATTTCTCTTACATGGGGCTGAAGAGTTGTCACTTAAATAAATTTATTTATTTTTTAATTATTTATTTATAAATTATTTTAAACAAATTTTCTATGAAATAAATATAATACGAAAACTGTGAAATATTCAAGTATTAAGACGATATATTTGTGGCACAAATATAAAAGTTAGATACATATACTTTTATTAATTGTACTTCAAACAATGAGAGATAATAATAATAATAAAAATAATAATACTAATAATAATAGGAGTTAGTAGAATTTATGGTGATAGACGTAGAACAGAGGATATACTGACAATATTTGTTTGTCTACATAAGTGATAAAACTTAATTTTCTTTAGTTTGTGGAATGAAAAATTTAAGTCAAAGACAGTATTAGTTTTAAATAATAATAGGAACAACTTCTGTTCCAGGCCAATAAAAAATAAACCATTTCTACGTATATTAAAAAAAAATTATTAATTTTAGAAAATTAAAATTTAAAGAAAAAATTTAATTAATATCAAAATTAGTGCACATAACTCTTGGAAATAATTATATTATTATATAAATTTAAAATTGATAAATTAGGTTATATAAATATAGGAAATGTATATATAAATATATATGTATATATATTTATTTTATATTACATAAAAATGTAAAAGAATTAAATAATTTACTTACTTTTTTCCTATTTCAATTGTGAAAATTTATTAGGTTGAAAAGCATCCGCTCTGATCTTGAAGCAACTTGTTCAAAAAACTCACTAATAATTGTATAATTTCTATCAACTTTTCTCTTCACGATTTTGTACTATTCAAACCATAGCACAGAGGATACTGACAATATTTATCTAATATAAGCGCTAGAAGCATTTCAGAGCCCCAAGAAAGTTGTTGACAATAACAAACCATTTATTTTCATTTACACATCGATTATTCTAAGCTGTTTAAAGAAAATTTAAGTTAAAACAATAAAAAGAAAATAAAATATAAACTTACAATTAAAACATAAAATAATTAATAATAATTAATATTATAATTTTTATGGTTTTCAGTATAGGTTTATTTAAACTTTCTTTAACCTAAATTTAATGTTTATTTAAAGTAATATATATATATATATATATATATGTCAATAACTTGATTTTCACATATATTGAAATTAACAAAGCTTGGTATATTACATTTGCAAACATAACATTTAATACACTGGTATAGGAACATTACCATATAGATGTACATTACAAAAAATTAATTTACATGCATCTTGAAATTAATATACCATGGTATATTAAATGTGTTTTAAATTTACAAATATCAAGGACTAATACACTGGTATATTAATATCACAACAGAGAGGTGTATTACGTAAATTTAAATTACAGGTATCTTAAAATTAATATTCTTTGGTATATTAAATGTGTTTTAAGTTTACGAACATTTTTAACAGTGTAATATATTGTTTTCATTTAAGTTAAAATCAAAATTTACACAGTGCGACAAAAAAATGTTTAAGTTAATTTTGTTGTTTTTTTCGCTAAAACTAATTAAAATAAGAATACGATTTACTGGATTTGTTGATATTACTACCCTTTTACTTTTTTTATACGTTTAAAAAACACGTATTTTAGAATATTTTAAAGTCTTATAACTACATACTTCAAAAGATTTTTTTGTGTTTTATATTATTTTTTTCATATGTTCTACTCACCAAATTGAATGAAAGTACAAAAATTTCATAGAACTATGAAAGAAAAGAAATTTTTTCCAAACGGTAAAGTCTCGATTCTAAGAGTGGAAATCATCCTTTTAGAAGGAGAAGAGGGTTAAAAACAAAAATTTTTTAAAACTAATAAATTCCCTTGAGATTTGCTACCCAAGGATTTTATGGCTCACTGACTACGAATCCGAAGTCAGTTTTTTAAAATTCAAAATGGCAGGTCTAATATGGCTACTGAAAGTTTATATTCAGATCGGAAAAACACCTCGGCTTTCGTTTGGAATTATTTATTTAAAAAAAACGGACCGATTTTGTGAAAATAGCAAATTTATGTTTAATTATAGAAAATCAAGGTTAAAATTAAAAAATTTTTAAAAACAAAATTCATCATTAAAAAGAGCATGAAAAAACCTTTAAAAAACATACCTTCCAAAATTTTTTTTTTGCATTTACAGACAGCAAAAATTCAAATAGTAGGTGGTGTCAGGAAAAACTGATAAAATTGACCCCCCCCCTCTATCTCCCCCAAAATTTCAAAAAAGTCAAAAAAATTTTTGGGGATAATTTACTATCAGGTAGGACAACAATTTCTCCAAGTTTCCCTTTTTTTCGAGAAATCAATTTTTCAACTTAGGACATTAAACGTAAAATGCCTCATATCGACGACTCCCGTCCATATAATCGTAACTCAAATGTCAGAACTATATAATCGTAACTCGGAGCTCAGTTCAATATGAACGTAGTTAATTTTCAGAAGAATAAAATCGTATCTCAACGTTCAGTTCTATATAATCGTATCCCAAAATTCCGTTCTATATAATCGTATCTCAAATTTCAACGTAATATAACTATTTGTAAAATAAAAATAAATGTCCACTCAATTATACACGGTGAGCTTCGTTTAGGTTCAACCTAAACTGCATGACCCTTCTCAGGTTTTTTTTTATATCAGTTCGGTGATGCCTCACGATCATTTTAAGACGAAAATTAAAATAATCGTTGGAGGGAAACTCAAATTATATTGATTTTTAAATTTTTTCCTAGGTTATTGAAGATATTTTCATTAAAATACCGTTTGGTAAAATACTTATTGCTTCAAAAGCTACAATTTAACATAAAAATAGATTATATATAATAATTAAACCATTTTGATACATAGAATTAAGAAAATGTTTAAAAATAGTCGAAAAAACTGAAATTTTTCTAATTTTTTAAACTTTACTCCTTTATTTAACGTTATTTCAATAAAGTCATGTAGAAGTGAATTAAAGTACATAAAATTTCCTGTAAATTAAAAAAAAACTCTTCTATCTATTACCGTTACAAAAATAT